GTACATTTCAGCGTGGCTTAAGAAATCGAACTTGTTATTAGGTAAACATCTATTTCCTTCTATCATTGCCTGACAAATCTATCGGTTCAGTCGTTTGGGAGAAACCACCGACTTTGAAAATCGCGTTTCGAGAAAAACGCGCTTACCTAAAGTTTTGGGAAACTCATATCTCCGATTGATGTGGCGTATCAATTTAAAATTTTCGGTACCACTGTCAGTTATATAATATAAAGCATTAAATTGGTAGCAAAATTAAGCAGGAAAATGTTGGCATTTTTAGGGCAAATTATCTTAAATGAGCATTAGAGGATCATGCGCGTTTTGTACGAAACATTTGTACAGAGCTTATAGAAGAACATTGGCGGTGAGTTCAATTCACTGCTTAAGTACATACACTGGCTGGTTGAAAAGTTTCTGCGCTCGAAATGAAAAAAATTCTGTTTTTGGTACGAAATATATATTTTTATTCAATATAATTTCCCTTAACTTCAATATACTTATTATAAGGATCCTCCAATAATATGCTATCCCTATAATGGCTTTCCGAAAGCTCTGCAAAATACCCGGCTACGGCTGAAATAGCTTCTTCGTTCGACGAAAAACGCTTTCCACGTATTAATTGTTTCAGGTTTCTGAAGAGGTAGTAGTCGCTGGGAGCCAAATCTGGTGAATACGGGGGATGCTCAAGCAATTCGTACTTTAATTCGTTGAATTTTGTTAAAACACCTTTGTGAGTTGGTGCATTGCCTTGATGAAAAATGAGTTTTTTGTTCACTAACAGTATTATGAACTTGCTCTATGATTTCTGGTTGCGGTTTTGGGTCGTCCACCGCCCAAAATTCAACAGTGCGTTTTGGAGGTGAGGACTCCTTATACACTTCTAACAATTGTTCATAAATTTCCTTTGCTTTTAAACCTTTCGAAACCTAATCTAAGAATCTAATCATTGCGCGATATTCAATTTTTTCCATATTAAAATAATCCTCTGACATGTCAACTTTAAATGGCTTGTAAACGAAGAATTAATTAACAGAATGACTTGTAACTTTGCATGTGTTCTCACGACAGATGTACCAACTTAAGAAAACAAAAAACTTTAGAGCTAATAGTGCCATTTCTTGGTAAGACCAACCAACTTTACAACCAACCTGTACATATGAACAACTATGCAAGTAGTATGTACATGATTTTTTCCATTTATTTACGATGGCGAAGACCCGAAGCGGTACTTTTGTGCAGCAAAATTATTCGTGTGTATGCAGTATAACTGGATGTGAGAGTTTGCAAGTTGTGAGGGAACCGCAACGAACTATGTTTTGTAAATGCTCAACTCAATCATTGTGTGGCTTGTAAAATGACGACCCTGAGGTGAGTTAAGAAGTATTGGCGTTGTCGACGGCAATTAAGGAAGTTATTAATTTCGTCACATTTCATGGCATTAGTACAGTTAGACAGTCGATGTTATTGCTTGTAGTCCTATGCACACTTTGTATACAGCTATTTGCACAACTCACGGAAGCAAAGTGCAAAATAGTGGAAGTGCGAGGCTGAAATAGCGCGAGGAATCTATTACGTGGTAAATAAATGTACTTAGTATGTAAGTTTGTATGTGCGATTCCTTGACGCTTCTCCTTCGAATGTTTGGTGAGTATTCATGCCCAGCGCTGGTGAATTTCCGAAATTATATGCGGACATATTTCATTTTAGTTGAGCTGTTATTATTTTATTGTTTGCTTATAATTATTAATATTTGCCTCGTTTTTGGTTTCTCTTTCAGTGGGACATTCGATTCTACAATAATTATTTGTGCATTCCTTATAACGCTATATATTCTAGTAAAGCCAAAAATGAACGAAAAGCATGAACAACAATAAAACAATTACAGTGTGAAACAAATTTAATTTACAAATTGCTCATTCGAGAATGTGCGTGTGAATAAAAGATGACAAGAAAAGCTATAGCAAATATGCTGAATGACACAACCCCAAACAAATCAAAGAAGAAGAAGAATGTAAATTCACAAAAGTGGTTCAAAAAGTTCTTCAATTTGTCATATTTGCCTCTTTATTCGACCAGTTGAGCAATAAAATATTCATAAGCTTGAAAGAAAGGATGGTACTTTGACGGTTCTGGAACGTTAAATGTTAGATTTGGATCTTAAGGGGTTATATACACTTGCGTATTTCAAAAAATATTTTTTTTGCTATACTATATGATATATAAGACGACTCGGCAAATCGTTTCGGAGACAGATAGATTTTTTAAGTTAAAGTAATCGGCTTCTAAAACTTAAAACTTGTTATTCTCGAAAGGATGTTTTAGAGCCGGTGAGGAATATTTTTCTAAAACAGCAGGACCGATCGCATCGACACAAAATTTTCACGCTGAAATGTAAAGTTTTTCATAAAAACGACTTTTTTTGCGAAATTCGCCATTTTGTCAAGTATAAAAATTTTCATTAGTCCTTCAATACTTACTGGTATTCATATATGGTAATAATATATTTTCGGCGTTTGAATTTCAGATGATTTTACGCAAAAAATTTTCTCACCGCCAGACAAACTTTTTGTATTGTGACCTGATCCAATGTGAAGGGATCCAATACGAGAACCCTTAAGACACATAAAAACAATTGTGAAATCTGCCCAACTTGCCAAGTCAAAGGCAAAGAATAATATCCATGCCGTTTCCACGACATTCGGATATACTTAACCTGAACTAACACGGATTTTTATCTCGCCAGGAATTGTCAACTGAGCAGCATTCTTCTAAATTATTTCAGGGTATTATTCTACAGCTACAAAAACACCAACAACATCCATGGCGCCAAGGTAGTCCACTGTACTGTGAAACCATTAATGGGGAACGCTAACGACAACAACTTATCAAATTGAAGTGAGCGATTGTCGAAAAACACCCGGAATTGATGGTGAGAGACGATGCAATAATTTTCAATCATGAGTGGCTGCGAAGTTTTTCTCACCCGCCTTATAGCAAAGATCTTGCCTCTTCAATCAACTGTTTGTTCCGGTCGATGCAAAACGCCCACATTGAAATACGGTTCATATGAAAACAGGGTATTAAAAGTGTGGTTTGGTTTGATTCATTCTTAGCCGCCAAGCCGGTACAGCTCGTTTGGGATGGAAGCCACAAATTGACAAAAATATGGGGATTGTTATATCTATCGTTTTTCCTATAATATCTTTATATTATAAATCTTCTGTACGTGTGTTTGTAATTGAACTCCTTCTAAACGGCAGGACCGATTCTGATGCAATTTTTTGTGTGTATTCAAGGGGGTTTGAGAATGGTTTAGATTCACAATTCGATCAACTAGATAATGGTTTATTAATGAATTTTTTGTAAATGAGAATTCAGACCAATGCAATCAACGTCTTCGTGTTAAGACAATGAGAGTCACTTCAACGAGTAACCAACGCTCACAGATTAAATGAATGACAGCGGGTGTGAAATCGTAGAGCACTGGTACGAGTATCGTTTAATCGTCTTGCGTTTGAATATGACCCTGAAATAGACTATTCATCGCACTCGGCAATCATGATTGGTAGTAAGGACAGATAATATAAATATTGTCATGCATCTGGAAAAATGTTACTGCCATCACTAATTGCGCCACCAGAACCTTTGAAAACGCTATAAGCTGGAAACACATATCAATCAAAGTTGTTTTTGCGTAAACTCCGTAAATGTCGGATCCCCTAGTTATTATATAAATTATTAAGGTTTAATGAAGTGCAACGCATAGTGATTTGCAAGACCTCGCTGAGCTTATTGCGAAACAAATTGGTTTCTTCAACTTTATCGCTCGTGTACGTAGAACTTTTTTTAATCACCAGCTAGACCGGCAAATCTTATGGTAAATACTTTCTGTAATAACGCCGAGGCATGCAGAATAACTACGTATTTTGTCAGCTTCATCAACAAAACATAAATAAAAGCAATAATAACAACAATGCAAAGGCATAGCAATAGCAAGAACAGCAAGCAAGAAATAACAAATGCCGGCAAGTAAACGACACCAGCCATGCAATGGGAATTACACACCTCAGAAGCGACGGTGGTGAGCTTAGCGCAACCAAGGTGCATCTAGTGAAGCCACGTATTGTTTGCATAGTTGAGAATGTGAGCAAGCAGTAAGCCAGGCCGTGGCGACTCCAAGTGGACTGCATGCGCCGCGAAGCACGCGTGTATCTAAGTGGATTTAAAAATATCTATGTATATGCAATAGTCGAGGTGAGTGCAAGTCAATGGAGGAAACACCACAACACCGCTGCTACCACTTGGCGAGTAAGTAAACTGCAGCAGCAACTGCAATGCCAGAAAAGAAAAATAATAAAACTTGCTATGCAACTCTGTGCGGCACAAAGAAACGTCCTTATCCACACCTCTGCAGTTGCCTTGCTGGAGCTGCCTCGATCGTGGCGCTGAGGTGTGTTGCAAGCGGTTCTTCAAGTGGTTTTCATGGGATTCTGAGTTGCTTCTACTTGTGCGTATGTTGTTGTTATTATTGTTTGCTGCTAAACGCACATACATAAATATCTACGTACATATGCGCTTGTGTTCGAGGCGTGTGTGTCTTCTTCGCTGATTTGTTGCTGTTTTGCTACTACTGGCACTTTAGCTGTTCGCATAAATAGCGCATTTATTCGCCAGCGTTGAGCCGTAATGTTGTCATAAACTAGTTTTCACACATTTCACACATATTCATTGCTGCAGCGCTCTCTGTCTCCTACGCTCGCTTTCTTTCGCTCTTCCTTTCTTGAGTTTCTGCAGAAAACCCACTAACACACACACACACACATATATATATATATAAATTCACATTCCCACAGCCGGTCTTTCTCAGCCTTAGTTAGCTGCTCCACTTTAAGACCACTTTTCGCTGTTGCTACTTCCCGAAACCCGCAAATATTTGCTCATAGCGCTACACTCACTTACTTTTTCAGGATATAAAACATAAATAAATTTCAGCTACGTACCGTTAAAAAGTGATGCCGAGAAATTGCCTGCAAAGATAGAAGAAAAGATGAGGGTACATTAAAATTTTTTAGTAGAAAAATGTGAAGAGCTCTGCAGTTTAAAGCTACCGCAAAACACTACCGAAAATTAAACGAACATTGCAACATTAAAATACCTATAATATTTTTTGTTGTCCGTTAATGTCGGCGCACTTCTGCTTAAATAACATTCGACAGCAATTTGTGAAAGCAAAATAAATAAAAAATCAGTTAAACCTTAACTTCGGCTACACTGAAACTATAATACCCTTGACAGGTTTAAGTTGTCTTATAAGAACTTGATTTTGATCGGACAGTTTGTATGGCAGCTATATGCTATAGTGATCCGATCTCAACAATTTATACGGATATTGTACCGTTGCCTTGGGCAATAATCGATGCCGAATTTCGTGACAATATCTCAATAAATAAAACAGTTTTCCATACAAGGACATCTATTTGATCGTTCAGTTTGTATGACAGCTATATGCAATAGTTGTCCGACACCGGCGGTTCCGACAAATGAGCAACTCCTTAGTGAGAAAAAGACATGCAAAAAATTGCAGATAGATAACTCAAAAACTGAGGGATTAGTTCGGGTATATATAGACAGATGGACGGTCGGACATTTCTAGATCGGCTTAGCTCGTCATGCTGATCATGCACATACATATAATACATATTTTATAGGGTCTCCGAACTTTTCCTTTTGGGTGTCACAAACATCGAAGCAATCTAAATATACACTGTTCAGGGTATATTAATACCTACTTAGCATTTTGGTATGTATGGTATGTCTGTCTGGACTTACCAAAGCGAGTGAAACCTGAAAATGAAGTCTGTAAGCGTCGAGATAAGAGGTAGCCACCTAAGTGCATGTGTGTTGGTGTGTGAAAAGGACCTCACGCAGTGCAAATATTTCGCGGTTTAAACAGACTGTTAACAATAACTACAGTTAAAATGCGAATTATTAATTTTGAGAAAAAACTGTGCCAAAAAAGTCAATGACAACTTGAATAAAAGAATTTTCATTAACGCGTATAAAGCGTGGCAATGTTGAAAGAGCAGTTAATGCAATGGAAATAGTGGAAGAATTGCAACGAAACAGAATATAAAATCTGTATCCTATTGACTTTTGACTCTACACGGGCTTTGGTTAGGACTATTAGATGGATTGACTGACTAAGCCGATCTTCTACTGGCTTCCAGCTGAACCCACCACCCGAGATGAAAACGAGATTTTTAGTTATTGGAAACCTTTCCTAGCCACTCACGAATGTAGGTCGATTAGGCAGGAGAGAACCAAGGAGCCATATCGGCAAGCGCTGATACTCCTATACGAGGAGTTCCTCACTCCTCTCTTCCTTTTAGTGACGAAAATAGGACATAAGCTATAACTTTGAGAGGTTGGTCCTCAGGACACTTCCGACGGAAACCACATCGAATGGCCCGCTATCTCCAGCGGTGGGCTAATGCAGCAGATACTCCTTACTTGTAAAACGTCATTCCTATAATTAAGAAGATAAAGCCCTGTTCACCAAACGGATAATATCTTTGCCGATGCTAATAAATAAATAAATAAAATATATTGGGTATTACATTTGACAGTGTATACTTCTTCACTTCGGTTTTAATCGCCAATAGGTGCAACGCCTTAACAAGTTCCTCGAATGGCTAGATATCAATACTTCAGAAAAAGGCAAAGAAGGGATACATACAAGACAATCAGATGACGACCTTGAATTACGCAAAACCAATCTAGTCGCGTGGATCTTGAATGACGCAAATGAAGAGGCATGAAATATTCCAAAACATCGGGTTCCGGACTAGAACAAAATTACTCTAAAGAGCGTCCACATAGGACTTGTATATAAACATAGCGAACTCATCTTCAAGCAGCCTCTGCTTTAATTTTTTCGTAGAAAACAGCCTTGTAGAGGGAACGCGACAACATTTCCTGGCTTTCATGCATAGCTAAACATACTATATTGGTAATTTCAGTTTTATTGGGAATAACATTTCGATGAATGTTCGAGTATATACAACATTTATATAGCTAAAATCGCTAAACAATTTCGATGTGAAAGCTTTTCGTTCGCTAAGTCTAAGGCTTTAACTACAGCAACATTATAGTGCAAATGAAAACGATAAAGTGAACCGAATTGGTCAACGAAATAAAGTCACCGCAAGAAAAATAAAAGAAGAGGATACGTTTAAAACTAAATGACTAACCGCAAACATTTTGAGAGCCGAGCGGCAAATGAAAGCACGCAGCAATAGTAACAGCTACACATAACCATAGGTATGTCTACATACTAATATAATACTTACAGTTGTGGTCTTAATACTACGGACCGCAAGTAATTTAATGCACTTAGTGAATAATGGCGTATATGGAGGAGAATAAAATGGTAATAGGGTAGGAAAGGTTGCGCCAAATATAAGAGCACCAAGGTGATGTGAATATTGTCATGTGGTGCACTATGAATTCCTTACGAAGAACCATATTTGAGAAAATTATCCGAAACGCCCAGAATTATGGTTCATTTATCACGATAATGCACTCAAAAGGCGGGGCGTCGACACGATTGAGGAGATAAAAAAAGAATAGAAGAGGGACTTGAAGGCTATTACGACTGTTTCGAGGACTAGAAAAAGGGGATGAAATGAATTTGGAAGAATAAATAAATTCTTAATATTTTTGAAATGAATAAAACGTTTTGTGTGAAATATTTCGAAAATTCCATTTTTTCTTCTATTATTATGACCGTAACTGTATATGCAAGAAAATATTAAGAAACATCCAACTTGCGGCTGATGATACGACACAACAACGAGTATGATTCGATACCCGATTAAGAGACGATGAAGTAGAAACAACGAAAATAAAAACATACCATACATTCCGAAAGGTAATAAGAAAGTCAAGAGCCAACAACAGGAAAGTTAACTGGCCAGAGCAATCAGAAAGAAAAGAAGCAACATAAATATGAGATAGTCGTGTGTGTGTGCATATAAGACCAACAAGTCACCTACTTGTAGCGATCTGGTCCGGCTATTCACCAGCAAGCTAGTGAGTTCCACACTGCTCCGTTGGGAATCGCGCTCAAAGTAAGTGCACATATGTGGTTGTGGTGCCAGCCAAAGCCAAAGCCGAAGCCGAAGCCAAAATGCTCAAAACTCTCTACTACTACTCTAAGCAATCGCTGATCAGATCAGCCGGTCGCAGCAGCAAGTAAACTCGATTGACGGGGCTATTAACGTCCAACGTACATATGAAACAAGATATTTTTTCGGCCTGAGTTTTGCTGAAGCTACCATACTGCCATCACCGCCAAGCAGCCAGCTCGTGCAACTTTCTGCATTTGCGATTGCACGCTGTCCACACACAGACACTCCTCCAACGAATGGTGGACCCTTTAAGAAGACAATCAAATGAATGGCAGTCCCAGTGCAAGCGGAGACAGGGTGGTCGGTACTATTCGGGTCATATTTAGTGCTGCAGCGGGGAGGGGAACTTAAATGTAAGATGAGGCACTCCAAGCCGGAGGCGGCGACGAACGACACATGCTTTTACCGGCCATAGCATTTCGGCATTCTTACGTGTGAGTAATGTGTAGTTAATGCCTGTTCTCGGCTCCAGGTGATCGTAGAGCGGACACATAAACAGAACTACACATTACACTCCGAGCAGAGCGTACGGCAAAAAAGGGTAACCAGGTGCGAAGAAAATTGTTTGGGGTACAACACGTTGATTTGCAGAGTGTGTGTTTGCACGCTTGCGGCTATGTGGTGCTTGTAGTTCATTTAAGTGACTGGTATTTACGTGGGTACAGCGTTTTACTTAAAGTGTTTTCGCTAAGTATACGTACGGAGATTGTACGAGCATAAGCATACGCATACGCATAAATATACATTATGCATTTAATATGTCGCTACATCCACTCACGCTCACATGCAAGTCAATCTTAGTTGGTATGTAATTAAGTGGCGGTGAGCGGTCGTGAGGCAGAAACCCGAAGCTACATCAGAAGAAGTTATCAGCGTGTGTTTATGTGCATGTGAGTGTGTGGCAAGCATGTGGAGTGCGCGGCAATGTCAAGAGAAATAATTAACGTTTTAATTACATTTTATAGTCGAACGTCTGTCAGGCGTAATTATTATTTGTATCACACTTTAGAAAATGCTTACAGTGGAGTAGCTACCGCAGGCAGCGGCCGCAGCAGTTTAGCGGCAATTCCTCAAAGCCCTTAGTATACAAAATATGTACGTATGTATGCCTGGTGAGGCGCCCCGACCACGGACACTAAATATTATTGCATACTCGACTAAACGCTTATTTTACGAGCCGTGAGAGTGCGCAAATTATGTCAGCAAGTGAAGCGCAAATTAAGAGCTCATTTACATGTCAGGTTGCACAAAAAAAAAAAACAACAAAAAACATACATAAAACACGAAAGTAAACAAAAAAGCAGTCAGGAATTTTGAATCTAAACTATTTATTCGTCAGGTATCAGTAAGTTCAGGTTAATATTCACATGCATACATACATACTACTTACATATATAAGCAATGATTCAATTAGCTACTACTTAAAAATTTCCTTTAATTTCATTTAATATTTGTCTTTGATATTTCAAAGCTTTTACTAATGGAGAAATAATTGTAAACGAATATTACAACTCGACTGTACAACTTTTAATTGGATTATTTCCATTTTCAAGTCGTTGGAAGTATAAAATAGACTTTCGTGAGCATAATGTACCAATATTTTGTTGCAACCTCTTAAGGTTTTGCTTTTCTCTATTCTAGTTTCGGGTGGTTACCGTGGTGTAGGGCAATAAATGTCATTTTCTTAGATAAGTCCATGATATTAGCAGTTTCCCATCCTTATATAGTTTCACCATAATTATCCGTTAAAAAATGTTGCAATGCACCGCGCGGCCCATATTTCACTTTTATTTCTTTCATTTATAAATTACAAACCCTAGATTTTTTCTTAATTATAA